ACCGCGCCGGTGTGTGTCGTCCTGCGCCTGCCGCCGGCCGGACGCGTGTGAGGATGATAAGGGCTTACCGCGCGGCGAGCGAGCACGTCACTGCCTGCGTGTCGCGGTAATTACATGCATATTATCATGCACATGCAGTGCATGCATCCGACGTGGAGGGCACCTGTCGTCCGAGCTCCTCCTTCCGCTAGTACAGCACTGGACATGGGCCTAATGCCAATGGCCTAATGGGCTTGCCTGGAAGTAATCACGTCATGTAACTCAAAACATCTCGACCTTTGATACTCTGGCCCGGCCCACTTGATTGGCCACCCGGCTTCTTGCAATGCAAGAAATGGCTATGCAAGAGACTTATTATATATGCATTCTCAAAAAAATCAGCCTGATTTATCCTAGTAAGTAACCCCTCAACTGAGATGACATTCTCATTTGAATTGCGATGAAGCTCATCACAAACCCTACCAAACAGCTCACTAAGCAACGGCCGATCATCGAATATCAGAGGCACCATTTGCATTCCAACAAAACTGACATTCTAGTTGGTATGCACAACACGGAAGTCATTACGGGTATATTACACAAAAATAACTACCCACATTATCTAACTATCTAAATTTGCCAACTAACTAAATTACCTAACTAAATTTGGTAACTAAATTACCTAACTATCTACCTAACTAAATAACTATCTAATTATCTGACTATCTATCTAACTATCTAATTAGATTTGCTAACTACATTTGGTAACTCTAACTAAATTTGCTAACTAAATTACCTAACTATCTATCTAACTAATTAAACTAAATAACTAAATTACCTAAACTAAATAAAACTAAATAAAAAAACTTACTTGCTGTTGGTGGAGGACGGTGGGGAGGTGCGGGCCGGCGATGGGGCGGCGGAGGGGCGGCGCCCGGAGCAAGGCCCGGAGGCTCACCGGCCCGCGAGCCCGCCGGGGAGCGGTAGGGGGCCGCCCTCGTCGCCAGTGCTCGCGGAGAACGGGCAGCGAAGGGGGCGACAAGTGCGGTCGGGACAGCGACGAGGGCGGGGAGGCGGTCGGGGGCCGGGCTACGTCGGGCGGCGGCCGGAGGAGGCGGCACGGGCGGCGGCCGAAGGCGAGGACGGGAACGGCGGCCGGATGCGAGGACGACGGTGACCAGTGTGGCGGAGAGAGAGAAAGAGAGAGAGAGAGAGAGAGAGAGAGAGAAGAAGAAGAAGAAGAAGAAGAAGAAGAAGATTAGACGGCGCGGGGTATAGGGTTTAAATCTCGGCGCCACGACCTATGGTGCCGAGACATGTTACCTCGGTGCCGATCCCCCGGTCCAAAGTCGAGTTTACGTTGTCCAAAGATGTAAACGTGAATATTTTTCAAAAAAAGGCCAAATTAAAAAAAAAATCGGTAATAATTGATGGTAAAAGGTACTAGTCTCAAACAACACTAACTCTGTTAAGAATGTCAAAAAAGAAAAGTGACTCTAGCTAGCACGTCCAGAAGGCAGCGCCAGTTTTCATCGCCATAGACAGAGAACGTCAAAAAGATCCTAAGGATCCGGAAAGATCATGGGTCGGAGATTACATGGTCCCCTTGTTTGAACTTAAGCCACAAAGGCTGCTTCAACAAGCCAAACAAGTAGGCATCAATAGATATGCATGCACTGTGTACAAGCAAATCTGAGTTATTGATATCACCCTTGGATATCTCTGTCAGCTTCAGTTTGGCACCATATTGCTTCAAACCAATAACCCTTGCAGATAAATACTAATATGTGAATACTCCGGCCATTTTGAATGCTGGTATTTGTGGGGGTACAAGTCAAATCAGAGGAAGTTTGTAGCATATAGGAGTTGGAAGAACGGAGGTCTATAAGGAGCGACTTTGGAAAAGATGCAAAAGAACATTTTCTTTCTCAACTCTTACGCTTCAAATGATTTATCTGATTCACAAGGAGAGCAAGGATGGCGGGCGAGGCGCCACGCAAGCCAACGCGCCTGATCGCCAATGAAGGCTAGGTAGCATGATTAGCGAGTAATAGCCACGATCTCTTTCTGCTAGGGAGGGCAGAGCCGATTATATAACACTAATCCCCTCCTAGTGTGCCAGGTTCGTGGCGTTTCGTTGTAACATGCACTATTTCTCGATCTTAAATACAAAGTTGCACAAATATTTTGCGTATTCGAGAAAAAATTATGAACCCCATAATTGCAGTATCAAATATTTTTTTCTAAAACACTGTATGAAATAAAAAAAGAACACCTTCCGCTCCAAATAGAGACAAAGTAGCATGATGCGTAACTTTACATGTAATGGTTCTATATATAAAAATACTTGATTATTTTTCAATTTTATAGAGGTTCTCAAGGTGTGACTTTAACCATGATTTTCCATTATAATATAGTCCTTGGCCCACAAAAGAATGCAAATCTCGCTTTTCTAGAAGTCAAACAGTTTAAACTTTGACTAAAGTTATATATAAAAGTATTAACATTCATGTTACAAAATAAATACCATTAAATTAGTCATAGAATATATTTTTATAATAATTGTATCTAGAGACATAAATGCTAATACTATTTACTATAAACTTGGTCAAAGTTGAGCTAGTTTGACCGACACATATCTCATAATTGCATTCTTTCGTGGACGGATAGAGTATGTATAAAATAGAATAGATTTACGAGATTAAGATGATGTTCTAGAGAAATCATATGCATATATAGATGTAAGAGCAAATTCATTCAATACCATCCGAAGCCCCATCATTCCTATGCTATTGCAAATTATAATAACTTCCCCTCGTTGCTATGCTATCATACTTTTCCGCTGCTTGCATGCCACTGAAAATTATAGCTTTCCTTAGTTGTCATCCATTTAGACATTTTCATCCCTTGATGCCAGTGCCATCAATTTTACATTTTTTTTTCAAATATTGAATGTTGTGCAAACCAAAATCAGGGACACCAATATATGCATATTATTTGTTCCTGAGTTCAATGACATGGAAGGATTGAATGGCTAGGGAAAAAAACTTCCATAGGTTCTAAGGGTAAAACTGTGTTTTTCACTTTCACTTAAGAATAATGTGAATGCAAATTGATAATTGTGGCACATAAGGGAAGAAAAAATAAAAGCTGATGATAACAAAGGTAAGATATAGTTTTGAATGGTATGTAAATGATTGTATAGTTTTTTTAATGTCATACAAGAAACATCTTATAGAAGTCATAACAGTCAAAGTTTTCTGATTTTGACAGGATAAAGTGAAAAGAAAAAAAACTGTACCGTGGCCTGGGTGCATACTAAATTAAATTTCTCCACGAATCAGTTAATGACAATGGTTGCCACGTTAAAAGGACACATGAATTTCAGATGCCTAAACGCAGACTTACACAAGGACAAACAAATCATACAAGGGCGTTTGTCATTTGCGGCTCTGAAACAGTCGTCTCCACGGTTTCTTGGGCAGCTTGTCGACCTGCGGGTTCACATGCAGAGCATTGGCGTAGTATACCATGGGAAGGAAGGAGTCCGAGGGAACCGCCCCTCTCTATTAAATCCTGCACAGTTTTGGCCTCGTCCATATCCTTGTTCACTGGTCAAAGGCTAAACCATTTCAATTGTCCGTGCCAGATCTCTAAACAGTCTAAATAAAATGCTCTGCAAGTAGCCTCAAAGCCGTGCTGGTTCTGAATTCTGGTGTCACATGTTTTCAGGTGCAAACAAACAATTAGGCAGCACAAAGACGACAGAGATCAGTGTTTATCAGGGGATAAGTTCGAGTAAACAGTGCTTATCTTCGACTCTCTGATCCTGATAGCACACAAAACCGATGCATTCTGAATTTCTGATGAGAGCATTGATTGGTGAAGCTCGAAACTGAATCATATGCAGAAAACGAGCTAGGCAAATCAGCCAGTCAGTCTGAAAGGATACAGAGGCCTCTCCTCTCCTGGGATGTTGCTTGTTAAGGAGCGTGGAAACGAGGAAGTGTGCCTGCCTGCAGCTAAATGCCAAGACTGAAACTGTCGGAGCGTACAGTTCATGAGCAGTCATTTAATCGCGTCGCTCTCACTCGTGGGGCAGAGCATGGAACGCTAGTCCATGGATTGCGAAGACTTTCTTCCATGGCCGCCCAATTCCAGAAGAGGAATCTCGTGATCTGTCTTTCATACTTTCAGAAGTTCTTGGCAGGTTACTACTAATAGACTTGTCATCTGCTTCTTTCCAACTTCCAAGCATACATATTTCAGATTTTCACTCCACCTAACAGCAGTGAAAAGAATCTTTACTTGAGTTACCAAACATAGGACTACAGTCTGGAGTCATGTGCATCCTTGTCACCAGAACTGAAACTTGTTAGGCGGCTCTTGAAAACCCTCCATTTGGCAGGCAGGCTTTTTCTTCATATCCTACTCATGGCACACTCATGCATGCACACATCATCCATCTTCCTAGTGGGAACACGTGGAGAGAGGAATACGAAGATAGTAGTATATATGTAGAGTGGTTGGCCAGTAAAAAGCAGAGTACACTGCACACCGCAGTACGCCTATCTATCATCACTCATATTATAAGAAGATGATCACATCTCGCACACAAGCATATGCATATCACTCATTCCAGAGAATGAGATGGCAAGACGTTGTTGCACCACTTATTGTAAGCAACATCAGGTAGCTCTCTCTCTCTCTATCTTCTTGCTGCATCTCATCTCCTGTTATTCCGATCCTTATGCTTGCTGCATCAATTCTTCCAATTTGCAGTCTCTGTTGATGCGGTGCAAATATTCAGTCAACACGTTGGGCCTCCTTGTTGCAGTGAAAAGAACCTGCAAGTGAGGGAGGCAAAGGTGATGTTTGGTTGAATGGCTGCATGCCAACCTCTGCAAGGGAAGGAGCTGCAGCCATACGATGGCTGTGATCCTTCATTGTTCGGAGGGCCAGTTCTTCTGCCCCGGCAGGCAAGCTCGGCTCCACCGGCCGTGAGGGTAGCGCCGCCGGAGATGTCGTCGTCGTCGGGGTCCGGGAGGAGCGCGACGGAGGCGAGGGCCCTGAAGATCCACAGCGAGGCCGAGCGGCGGCGCCGGGAGAGGATCAATGCTCATCTGGCTACGCTCAGGAGCATGATTCCTGATACCAGGCAGGTCTGTGGTGTGATCCTTCCACCTCAATGGTTCACTTGCGTGAATCATTTGGCAAGATTTCTGAAACACTACCTGAGCAATTTCACAGTGTGCTTTTTTTTCATATTTTACCAGCGTTTCTTCTTTTTGTGTGATCCTTCCACCACCCATAATCTCAGTGTTAGATAGAGCCGCGTCAAACGTCTCTCCTTGGGAATAATTTATGGACAAGTTTGAGGTCTGCAAGAAAGCCACATGAATGGAACCTTTGCACTCACATTTGTTCACATTTCAATATTTCATCAGGCTCTCACTTTGGAGTTCTCTAGCAAGACAAAGTACAATGCTATGACTTCTAAGCAAAGGCTTTACTTTTACACTCTCCCTGCACTGCAGATGGACAAGGCCACCTTGCTTGCCAGAGTGGTAGAGCAAGTGAAGCTCCTGAAGAGGGAAGCAAGCGAGGCCACCACCCAGAGCACGACCCTGCCCCCGGAGACGGACGAGGTCTCCATCGAGCTCAACACCGGCGCCGACAGGGTTATCTACATAAGGGCCTCGATCAGCTGCGACGACCGGCCGGACCTCGTCGCCGGGCTGGCCCAGGCGTTCCATGGCCTGAGGCTGAGGACGGTGAGGGCGGACATGACCTCGTTAGGAGGAAGGGCGCGGCATGTGTTCGTGCTGTGCAAGTGCAAGGAGGAGGGCTGGGGCAGTGGTAGTGCAGGTCCAAGTGCAAGCCTCAGGTCTCTGAAGGAGGCTGTCAGGCAGGCGCTAGCCAGGGTTGCTTCCCCAGAAACGGCATACGGCAGTAGACCCTTTCAGAGCAAGCGGCAGAGGATTCTTGAATCACATTACTCGATTATGTCCATATAGAATGCTATATCTAGTTCCTGAACTGCTAAAGCCTGTAAGAGATGGTAGGAGATTCTTCAGATGAAGAGTGAGTGCTAATTGTGTTTTTTGTGTGCCCGAAATGGATTTCTTTTACTGTGTGTGATTTGATTTTGGACCCTGAACTGTGGCTAGTGCTGAAATAGTCTGCAAAACCACATGGGAATGGCCCGGGGACCAGGGTTTGCATGGGGTGTGCTGTAGACCTGTAGTGTGGATGACTGTAGCATGTGGATGTAGAAATGCTGCCTCCAAAGTCAGATGATTGGCTTGCCATTTCAGGGTTTGGGTGAAAGACCGTGACACCTATACTCTACCTTTTGCTCTATCTATTGTCTGAGCATTTGGGGTTTCCAGAGCTCTCAGTTTTTTTTCTACACTAATGCAATTCCAATAGGGGGTATCCTCCCCTCCTGCTTCCTAAAAAAAATATGAAGCACAAATTTGTTCTTCAGAAAAATGGTATAACAAAGAATAATGGAAAAAATAACAAGGTTACTCACTTTGAAGACATGGAACTAGAGGCAATCTACTTCACATAACCAATATTCATCTATGCAAATGGGCTTATCATGCATGAATTTCCTCATAATTTCTTTAAAACAAAATTGCTCATAACTCTTCGACGCCTTTTTTTATAAAAGTATGGGCAGCTGCCCATAGGTTGAGAAAAATTGCTTCCTATTTCATAAAAAATGCTTTCTTTCAAAGACCAGAATTTGCTGTCTTAACGATGTGACTTCACTTTCCGTGAGAAATTTGTTTATATGCCGGGCCCAATCGGAAAGGGTTACTGCCTAACCTAATAGTTGTACCCCTTTTGGCCTTTACAACGAGCAATGCACTTAGTTGCTAACAGAGAGTGCTAGATATACGAAGTACACGTGTTGGACTAACTCGAGAAACGGATTTCCTTCGTTTATTGAAACTCCTTTCTTCCATTTACCATTGCAAAAGGTTTAGATGTTGGTGAGAGAGAGCTCTTATGACCAGACTGGAGAGAATAGGCTGAAACTTACGCACCGAAGTTGAGGACAGGCTTCGGACTGACCGAAGAGATTTTATAAAGTTTCAAGAGAGGCCAGAACGAAGAACAACAAAATTTGATTTCAGATTTATTGGCAGCAATACAACTATACAAGATCAGTTTCTGAAATCGTCTATATGAAGTAGCCACGAGAACTTGCAACATCAGTGAATTACAGGGATAATTTATTCAGAAATCGACAGCATGTCCTCCCCCAGACTTCTTGATATGAACATCACCAGAAAGAGGATCGATTTACAGTGGAACTCAGGAGACCTGGTGCACTCACTGAGGATTTGGTGGACGGCTATTTGCCGCAGAAACCCTAGATCCCCACTCGAGAAGCTCTCTGCTGGTGTTATCCTTATGCACGATGACCTCAATGAAGCATAAGCAGTCCTTCTTAGGTCCCAGAGCTGCCTTCAGTGCCTCCTTCAGCTCCTCCTCAGTTCGAACCTGCGAGCGAGAATGCGAAATAATGTCAGTTGTAGCGTGGCATTCGTGACCACAGAATTGCAGTACTACAACATACAGTTACGAACCTTTGCTGTGTAGCACTTGCCCCCTCGCCATTGTGGAATGCTTCCACCAAACCAGTGTAGTTCCAGTTCTTGATAACGTTATAAGGACCATCGTGAATCTCCACCTCGATTGTGTACCCTCCATTGTTTATCAGAAAGATGATGGTGTTCTGCCCCCATCGGAGCATCGTTGACACTTCTTGTGCCGTCACCTGAATTACAATCAAATTAAACTCTTGCCACATATGTTCAAGGAACTGAATTGATATAGAAAATGTAAGAACTTCCATCGTTTGGTATCATACCTGAAAGCTGCCATCTCCAATGCAGGCAATGACACGTTTATCCTTAGCAGCCTGTGCATATCCTAGAGTTGCACCCACTGCCCAGCCAATTGATCCATACTGCATCTGGAATTCGTACCTGGTGAAAGCAAATTACTCCTGATTACTAACTCGATGACTGAAAGCATCTCAACATGCTGAACCAAAGTTTGATATCACTACTATATAATATGAAATATTTCTTTATTGTGGTAAAGAGGCTGACAACATTCAATATCTAGTGGTGTAAAAGAATCAGAACAACATCCATCAGATTTTTATCTTACTTGGCCTAAATCAGCGGTACCACTTACCACCCACCAACCAACAGTACAGAAGAAAATGACAGATGAATTTTGTATCACTACAAAATTTCACAGCCAAATCGTGATTCTAAGAGGAGCTTACCCACAGCCTTCTGGTAGCTTCAGCTTCTGGCAGTTAAACCACGAGTCCCCAGTCTCTGCAATGATAGCCGTGTTGCCAGACAGCATTGCCTGAATATGCTTGAAGAGTATGTTCACTCTCAATGGCTCTCCAGGTTCAGATGAGAGTGGCTCGCCCGGAGGTACACAAATGCGACGAAAGTTCTCATACGCAGCAGTGTTCTTCTTCAGACGGGTTGCAAGGGCATGCAGGAAATCCTTCATCAGAACACACCCAAACGCAGGGCCATGCCCGATCACCACCCTCTCTGGTTGGACAATGATGGCCTTCTCCTTCCTGATGAGCAGTGAGTATCCAACCGAGCTGTAGTCGTTGAATATGGGACCAGCAAATAGATAGGCATCAGCAGACTCTACAATTTCGGCACAGAATGGAGTGCTCACAGCGCGCCCAGTACGTGCCAATGAACCTAGAGTGGTGTTCTGGCACTAGCCCCTTTGCGGAAGGCATCACCGCGACGGGACAGCCGCAGGCATCTGCCAGCTCTACAAAGGCTTTGCATGCTTTGGACACCCTCATCTTTGGTCCACCTACAAGCACTGGCTTGACAGCTTTGTTCAAGAAAGCCACAGCGGCTTCCACTGCTACCTCCAGGTTCATCTGGTTCGATAGCCTGCAAAATGAACAGGTTTATCAGCATGAGCAATGCCAAACTGTTCATCACTTTGCCTTGGGGAAATATACCTTGGGGAGAGGAAGAAAGGGACAGGATGACGGCTGAAGGTGGGATGTGGGATCGAAGGGAGGTTGCAGCTGATGCTAATGTAAACAGGCTTGCTCTCCTTTATTGCCGTGGAGATGGCAGTATCGATCTGTTCATGCGCATCTTCCAAGTTGTTCACCACAGCCTGCGATATATGAACAAAGAACATAATACCTTAGCAAAAGGTTCAGAATGAATATTATCTTCCTCTTTCTCTCTTACCACAAGAGCATGTCTTATTAGGCTTTCAGGAAACATGGAATATTTACCAAAGGTAGAAAGGGTTTTGGACTTTTGGTTACTATAAATGGATGTCATTTGTTGTGGCACTCCAGTGTAAGCATTTGAACTGTCAATTTCACAAGTCTCTTATGCATGATGCATCAATCAAGAGCTAGAAGTCTAGAATTGATGTTTCATCAGTAAATACCATGCACGGTAAAAGTTGTGCTTGCAGTAATTATACATGGCTGCAAATGGTATTCTCTGAAAACAGATATGTCGTGGTCAACAAACCAGGGGGTTTTAAAGAAAAGATATGCATCATATGGTTACCGCACTTTCTTACAGATTGACTATAACATTCTGCTCCTACCTGAAGGGTGACCAGTTCGTACAGCTACCCCAGAAAGCATCTAATTTTAGATTTAGTCAGACTTTCAAATTTTAAATTGGTAACGTACGGCCTACTAGAGGAAAACAAGACGATGAGGGGGGGGCATGTGCTGTGCAGTACTGTCGTACCTCGTACGTGTCAGATGCAATGTACTACAGGGTGCGATTAAATTAACATAATACTTAACATATACTACCCCCGTATTACTGTATTAGTGTGCTGTTGGGTTCGAGGATAATCGAGAGACAGGTCGCAAGTGCAAAGTGTCAATGTGCTGTGTGGGGTTACGGCCGGTGTTGGCGCCCGTTGTTTCTGCTGGAATGGGTAGGGTCCGGGGAATCTTTCTAAGGCGGAGACAATCCGTGGAATTTTTTAAAAAAACTACAGAGAGCGACAGCTCCTCTCACAAGCCCTATCCATGTCGCTCTAAATTCCCATGACTGTCCGATCTCGCGTTTGATTTGGCCCAGATCGCTCAAGTGGATTCTCGCCGCACCCGCTTCTCCTGCTTCTGATTAGCTTCTCTGATTTCTCCTCTGCTTCTCCCACTTCTCGTCGAAATCCGGACAATCAAATATATACAACAGCTTCAGCTTCTCATTCTAGATTCTTCTTCTCACCCCTCCTCTCGCTCTTCGCTCTCTCTCCCTCATTCTCCCGACGCTTATATGGGCGGGCGCTGGGCGAAGCGGCACGGCGGCGGCCATGCTCCTCCTCCTCCACCACCTCCTCCTCCCTCCCTCCCTCTCCTACCTCTCATCTCCGCTTTCTCCCCCCTTCTCTCTCTCCTTCCCTCCCGATCTGGGCAGTGGCGGCGCTGGCCGGCTCCCATGCACAGTGGCCACTGCACGAGGCGCTCGCACCTCCGCCGCTCCTCTCCCACCCTCGCGTCCTCTCTCTTTCTCTCTCCCGACGATCATGGGCATCTCAGCCACGGACCTAGGCCTCAACACGGCTGCTGTAGTGGTGCGGCCTCCCTCTCCCCAAGACGCGTGACGCCCAGCGGCGGCTGGGGGCCGGCGACGCTGTGGGCGGTGGTCACCGCCCACGACGGCGCAAGACCGACGCGCCAAGGCCCCTCAGTTGCACACCCACGGTGGCCTCGGATCTGCCGACGACGATCCTCTCGGTGTGGCCAAGGCCACATGGTACGGGTTCGACGGTTGTGACCGTGGTGCCCCCTCTGTTGCATTCGTTTCTTGGCGTCTCCTGTGTGAACCAAGACCATCCTCTCCTCTCAGATTGATCCCATTGTAGTCTCCTCTATGTGCCTCTTCCGATTTGTAATCAGAGGTTGATGGATTATAAGTGTGTGCCTATGCTGTTGTTTTATTTATTTAAGTCCGAGCATATGCCATTGCCGATGATGTGATGATGCCTCCGAGGTTCTTTTTAATAAACCTGAACATATTTTTGTGCCTTTGCTACTTTGCATTTTTTTCGCTGACCATATGTCAATGCCAATGATGTCGCAAATGTATATCTTTATCCTGAAATATACGATGTGATTTTTGCTAACATGGATGGCCTGCGAGAAGCGGACATGATTATCACTCTTTATGATTTTTTGCTTTGTCATTGCGAGTGAGGTATTCATATATGTCAAACCCGACAATATTTACATGCCATTGCTATTTTGCAATTTCCCCAAGACATGTCGCTGGCAATTTTGCTTGACACAAAATATCTTCTTCTCAACTATACCATGTGAGAATATGCAATCATGATTATCACTGTTTGTGTTTTATGATCTTTTTATTCTAGGGCATTTTCATATGTTTTCATGGATATTGCTTTCTACACTTCGGCTGCAGTTGGCGTGAGCTCAAGGTGGCCATGTTAGTGTGGAAAGTTTTGGCCGTTCGATTACGCTTTTACAATTGCGTTTCCCCGCGGCACTTTCCACTGTTTAACACTACAAATTGCGACAGCTTCTCGCGCAGAAGCCCTATCCACGTCACCCAAAATTTTCCTGGCCGTCCGATCTCGCGTTCGATGACCCAGATCGCTTGAAGAAAAATATCCTGGGCTTCTATGTACTCTACCCACACCGCTGCCTCTCTCACTCCGACTCTACTCTCTATCCCTCTCTCCCGACATGGCGTTATGATGTTTCTATTCCACTTTTTTTTACTGAGGCATTTGGCATATGGAGTGATACGAGCCATTACATATACATGGTCCTTTTTTCATAAAGCACTTTGGCATATGCAATGATGACCTACCAGGTAGGGTTACATCTCAATTTCCCGCTCTCTCTCGTCTCTGTCTTTCTTCCTCATTTGCAGGATTAGCTTGCGTCCACTACATCCATGTGCAGCTGGTATGCCCAGCCAATTGCAAGATCCATGGCTAAGTTAAGGCCACCTGAGGGAGCTCGTCCAAGCCTGTAATGAAGGCGACAACAAAAAGGAGATTTTGCAGACCCACTGAAGCTTGTAATGTTGGGGCTGGCTGTATTGTAAGTGGAATTTTCTTTTCTTCTTTGTGTGTTTCACGATGCATGATTTATTGTAGTGCTCTTATCCCTCACCAAGCGCTGCCTGTTCAAGGACACTGTAATTTGTTTCTTTTTTACTAGAGCTAATGGTAGGACCCCTAATTTGTGAGAAGGTTTGGTTTGCTTCGCTTCCAGCCCTGTAATAGAGCTTTGTTGGTTCAGATATAATGTGGTTCTATTTTATAAGAATAGTACACCGATGAATAAATTGGGTATACTGCTTCTACAAAGCTAGCATCAACTAGGTGTTTCTTCCATTGATAGATTGTTCAACAGATTACTAAAAAGATTCCACGTCGCCCACTTTTTGTTAGTTTAAAACAAAAGTTTGGCTCTGTGAGGCTACTGTGCATCTGTGAAAAAAGCCCTTTGTTTCATAATGTAAATTGAGGACAAGGCCAGTAGGTTGCCCATGGTTAGTTTTCTCTGGGTATGCAGAGATTTTCTTTCATCCGGTGTTCCTGTTCCCATGGTTCAGGATTGATATACTCAATCCTACTATATTGCCAGCAGTCTCTGGCATGAAAAATTGTTTAGGAAAGCGAAAACCAAAGAAAAACAGAGATAGTGGATCATTGTTTACCTTTTGTGTAGAGTAATAAAAATCTTTTGAGCCAACCTAGAAAAAATGTTAATTACTTGCTCTACACCATCTTTTCCAGACTGAAATCCTAGGTTGATTTGGATAAATCACTGTTATTAAGAACTATGATACTGCTGCCTTTCCTAGGCTCTGTTCCTTATTAAACTGTTGTCAAATCAATCCCTACAATTAATCGCTATATGTCTTCCTAATGTGGATTTATAGACTACTATCTGTATTTTTTATATAATGACATGCTCATGTTTCCTACTATATTAGTTGCGTTGAAGTTTTGTGCTGTACCTATATCAGACCAGTCAGATTGCCCTCAACAGGTGATACTTTGTAGTAGCAGGCATTTTTTCTATAAGCCTAAAGCAGTAAAGAATGTCCTTATTCAGTGTTCTATCTTGTTCCTGAGAGTTGGAATTCTTAATTACCTTATCTAGATAGAGATCCATCTTGCAACATCAATCTACATGCCTGCAGGACTAGATGACTTGTGCTCCTCTGCTCGAAGAAACCCTAGGTGCCTCTGCGGTGGCGGCTGCCCTCTTCGTCGTTGGCTGCAGTGGCATGACGGCGACGGCGGCGAAGCTCGGTGGCTGGATCTGACGGTGACTCACCCTCTTCTTCTCCTCCTTCGTTCCATGGCTCCTTCCCCAGATCCTCTCTCCCTCGCGTTTTTTTAGAGCGACAGATCCTCAAAACAATTTCTATGGCAGTTGAGAACTACATTTTCTAATGCGTGGTTATCTCACAGGAAAATAAATCCCAACTTAAACATGTTAAGGTTTCAGTTCTTATATGAAATAAGTAGTGCTTAGATCCATTTTGCAAGCAGCTGTAAATTTGCTGTCCAAACATGGCAGCCATGATTTTTTAACAGCTATCCTGCTTTTTTTAAGTGCTGATGATAGCTAAAAATCCATGATGTCTGTCCACATTAAACAAAATCTAAACATTCTCTCCTTTCATGTTGACTTCCTACATATACCTCTTACTGGACTTTACATGTTTTCTTTATGAATAGGCAAGTGCTGTTGGTACATATGACAATGATGATTCTACTCTTTAAGGTCAGCTTTATCCCAAAATCCTCTCCCCCTTTGAATTCTGTTTAATAGCAATGCTGATTTTTCTTCTCCTCATGCTTACTACGATATACTGCTAGCCTTTTCAAAACATAAAATGGAGATGACGATGCGGTCATTGCAAGCTACGTGCTGCTGTCTACCAACGTAAAAAAAAGAGAGTGAGATGAGGTAATATTCGTCGCCGCGTACTCCCTCAAGTATATGTCGGCCTATGCTCTGTTGCCTGTGTTGGTCGACTCACTGCACCAAAAAATATGCCAAGTTTTAGATTTGGACTGAACAGGCTACGTTCTTACAACACTTTTTTTATGCTGTTGTGCCAAAAAAAAATGTAGTTCTTCATGAGGCTGTTGCCCTGTTATTTCTGTTCGTTATAAGGAATTTTTCTATTCTTTTGGTGCTTTCCTTTATGAGCAACAACAACAACAACAACAACAAAGCCTTTAAGTCCTAAACAAGTTGGGGTAGGCTAGAGTTGAAACCCATCAGAAGCAATCAAGGTTCAGGCACATGAATAGCTGT